CTACCAAGTGAGTTCCAGGAAAGGCGCAAAGCTACACAGAGAAACCCTGTCTCGAAAAACCAAAAAAAAAAAAACAAAAACAAAAGTCAGACTTGATTGCTGCCACCTTTTTAGCAGGGAGGAGAGTGGTGACATGGATAAAGGCACCCACCTGTAAGTTTGGGCAGCACCAGGAATCGGCACTTGAGAATGACTTGTGCCCACTGCAGACAGCACCCTGGCCTGACCTCTCCAAGTGAAACAGCATCTCTGCTTTTCTAGAAACCTCAGCGAGCTGATAGACCGATTTGTGGCAGATTTCAAAGCCCAGGGCCCACCAAAGCCTAACACTGACGAAGGGGGTGCTGTACTCCCCAGCTGCGCCGACCTCTTTGTCTACTACAAGAAGTGTATGGTGCAGTGCTCACAGCTCAGCACAGGCGAGCCCATGATCGCCCTGACTACCATATTCCAGAAGTACCTCCGAGAATACGCCTGGAAGATCCTCTCCGGCAATCTGCCTAAGTGAGTCCTGTTCTCCTCACTCTCAGCAGGGAAGTGGGACTCTCAACATCCCTAAATATGGAACTCTTTTTTTTTTTTTCTTCCCGAGACAGAATTTCTCCGTGTAGCTTTGGAGCCTGTCCTGGAACTCACTCCGTAGCCCAGGCTGGCCTCGAACTCACAGAGATCCTCCTGCCTCTGCCTCCCAAATGCTGGGATTAAAGGCGTGCGCCACCACCGCCTGGCAATATGGGAGTCTTTAAAGAAAGCCACTCTGGGGTTATTTACTGAGCTGCTAAGAGAATGTCAAGGAGGAAAACACTCCTTCTGGGCTCCCAAGGGCCTGACGCACTTTAATGACAATGCACAGCTGCCCATGACTGTCAGCAGGCACGGTCCCCATCCACCAGTGTAGGTCACAGTGCATCACTGAGTTGGGCCTGTTATACGTATGTACACAGTGCGCATGGGCTCAACACAGGGAAAAAAAGGTATTCAGTAGCAGAGGCAATGTTGCTCCAGCCTGTTCAGTGTTCATGCCTTGAGTGCCAGATAGACGAGATAATCCCCCCTGGTTATCTTCCACAGCCTCTAGTGCTGTGTGCACAGTCCTATGTTTAAAGATGTGGGTGTACTGGGGCTGAGAAGAAGGCTGAGTGGATAAAGTGTCTCCTGCACAAGCATGAGGAGCGAGTTCAGGTCCCCAGGACCCACATTAAAAACTGAAATTGGCAACACTCACTTGTAATCCTAAAACTAGGAGGCAGAGACAGAGGACTCCAGGACCTCACTGGCAGCCAGTCAGGCCAGCGCTGGCAAGCTCCAGGTTTCCTAAGAGATCATATCTTAAAAACAAGGTACAGAATGATAGAGGAAGACACCCGATGTCCACCTTTGCCATCTGCCTGTGTGGGCACGGGCACACGTGTGCATTGTTAGACTGTCTTTTTCCACGTGTTCACTTATGAGTCCACATGTACTGTCTTAACTGGGAAGGATGGGTGGGGGAGCAGCTTTTGTGCTACAGATGACCCGTGAGTGAGATCTGCACCTCGGGGAATCCCAAGCAAGGCACTAGGCTGACCAGCCTCCTTGGTGAGAATGGGATCATCCCAGGACTCTCTCTTGGCGTTGTCTCTTCCTGTTCCTGTGGGTGAGAGGGTCTAACAGATGACAGTCAAGGTAAGGTCTGCAGCAAAGGGACCCATTGTATGTAGATTTATTTGTGCTGTAGCCAGCCTTTCCTCCGCTTCCTTCTTTGTCATAAAATGCACAGCTTCAGGAAGCAAATTAATTTCCTACTACTAATTGCAGCCTGACTAGTTCCTGTTCTTTTCCTCAGGACCAGCAGCAGCAGCGGGGGACTGACCATCAGCAGCCTCCTCAAAGAGAAGGAGGGCTCTGAAGTGGCCAGGTTCACTCTGGAGGAGCTGTGCCTCATCTGCAGCATCCTCAGCACAGCCGAGTACTGTCTGGCTACCACCCAGCAGGTGAGCACCCAGCTGAGCATGCCGCCGCCATCATGAGGCGCTCAGCTAGAGCTGGAGTGGAGCCCAAGAGCTCCGCTAAGCTCCACTAAACTGACCTTGGGCAGGCCACTTCACAGGAAGAAACTCACTGTGGACTCAGAGATGCCCCAGCCGCCATCTTACAGCCTCCACCCTCAAGTTCTGTAAGGTCCAACCAGGCAGGGCCTCTTCAAAGTAGGCCAGTAGCACAGGGTCCCTCAGGAGAAAAGCAGTAATAAATGCCCTCTAGGGTACCAGGCCCGGCCTTTGGTGGGTGAGTCACCCAGTGACTCCATTCTTAGCATGTTAATAAGCAAAGTCTATCAAGATTTTGTGCGTCTCCTGACATTTTCTGGCATTCTCTGTCCACCATAACAACCATTGTTTGAGATGTTGACTGTGAAGCAGAAGGGGAAGGAAGGCCTCTGCTGGAGCCCCGGAAGGCAGTTCAGCAACCTAGCTTTGCAGAGGAGGAGCCAGAGTAACTTGCTACTCAGCCCTCCATAGGGTTAGAGGCTCTTTTTCCCCATTGGCCTGTGGTCCCCATGAGGCTAGGAGCAAGAAAGAGCCCTGCTTTTCCTGATGTTGATGCTTATTTCCTAAGCATCTAAGAAGTCAGTCACAAGGGGCAGTTCTGACATGACAGCTTGGACCCCCTATGTGCCAGGGTGTGTCCAGCAGACTCCTTGAGGGTCATCAAGCTGGGCCCAGATGCCGAGACCAAGGCAGTAGCATGCTCTGCTTTGGGGCATGGTCACATGTACATACTTGAAGGCCACTTTGGTCTTGGAGCCAGACACACACACACATGCACACGCACATGTACACGTACACACACACATGCATACACCCCAGATCCACTCATGTGGAACATAGGTGTTTAGAGTGAATGAGAAAGACAGGGTCTCAGTGTGTAGACCAGGCTGGTCCAGAACTCACAGAGACCCATCTGGCTTTACTTCTGAGTGCTGGGATTAAAGGCATGCGCCACCATGCCAGACTTTTAATACAGAATCTTAAAAGTAAAGAGACCAAAGTAGCATACGAACTAAACACTGCACTTAGGACTCCTTCCGGAACCTGGCCCACATTCCCAGCTGTGTCTCACTTCTTCTTAAGCACTTTACTTAAGAATAGACCTAATAAAAATCTCTTTCTAGCCGGGCGGTGGTGGCGCACGCCTTTAATCCCAGCACTCGGGAGGCAGAGACAGGAGGATCTCTGTGAGTTCGAGGCCAGCCTGGACTACCAAGTGAGTCCCAGGAGAGGCGCAAAGCTACACAGAGAAACCCTG